TATATGTTATTATGGTAGCACAACATCATACAAAGGTAGTAGAACCACATTTTCCATTTTTACACCTATATAAAAACTATAACTTATTTAAAACCATTTATCAAGCATTAATCAAGTTAAATCAATAACTCAACCATACTACATCTAATGAACATGACATTTTTACCACAACACACATATAGCATCAGTAGCCTACCATAAAAATTTCATAGCAATTGGAGCACCACAACTTTAGACATGAGAATAACAAGCAAACACAAGCTAAAATTGCCTATTTAAGAAGATTAAATCAAAACATTATAAAAATAGTACACAACTAGCATGTTTAATATCTTCATTAGCTAGAGCATGTCATCACAAGATTAACACAACAAGAACTACTATTTTTGGACTTCTATAACTCAAGATATGCATCCGATAACTTAAAAGGATTTTTAAAAGCACTTTGCAAGAATAAATAAAAATAGCAGAAACTTTCTACTAACATAGATCATATTATAACTCTAATTCATAGACCTACTATCAAGGATTTCAAAAAGTCCTCATTTGCTATTTTATGATTTTTCTACGATTTATTATGGTTTTCCAAAGTTTCAGCCATAAAACAAAAACTAGATTTGCACCGAGGACCCCAAAGTTCCATGAAAATAAATTCCAATAAACAGGTCCTTCTCTGTACTATTCCCCTGAGTCACGGCTGTTCATTTCACCCCTGTCTTTTCTTCTATTACTGCGCGAGGTCCCCCTTCGTCTTCCTCAGCGAACAGAGCAGAGCAGGGCACGACAGGGGCGGCTTCGGGGTTGGCCGGCCTTGGCCAGCAGGAGCCAGCAGCGGCGGGGAGCACCCAGGGGCCAAAGCGCACCCGTGGGAGGTGTAAGCTTTCCTGGAGGTGGCTTGTAGAGGCCAGGCCACGTGCATCAGCGGCGGCGACGGGAGCAGCTCCGATGGCTGGGCTGCTCCGACGGTCTCCCGCTTGGGCAAGGAGTGCCGGTCGGAGAGGAGAAGGAGGTGGAGGCGATGATGCATGCATCTAGGGCAGAGAAGGCCCAAAGTGGCCTGGCCATGGCGCCATGGTGGTAGGAGGCGGGCGGCCCGGTGGCTTCAGCGCTTGAGCGGCAGCGGTGCTGCTGGGAAGGCGGCGCGGGAGTGAGGAGATGGTGGCGGAGCAGGTTGCGGTGGCGGTGCTGTTGTGGCCAGGTGGGTGAAGGATAGGGAAGGGAGCGGCAGTGATGGGTGCAGCTCTGCTTGGCCGGCAATGGCGGTCATGGCTGGCGCGTCCGCGCTCTGGCGCAAAGCGAGGAAGGGAGCAAGTAGATGCGAGGGCGAGCGAGTGATGTAGAGGGGGAAGCTCAGGCATCCACTTTGGAGGGCATAGAGGCACGGTAGGGAGGCAGGCACACGCGGTAGCGGTGCACAGCAATGGTGGGGGCGCGGCCAGTGCATGGAGGACGCATCAGCATTTCCTTGGACATGTGGCGAGCGACGGTCGGGGCAAGGTAGAAGTTGATTTTGGGCTAGCTACGGGCCAATTTGGACCTTAGGCCCAATAGCAAAGTTGAAGCCCACCTGATGATATACAAAACTCATTAAGGAAGCCTAGCCATTAGATCTCTCCATTAGCGCCTAATTAAGCCCAAAGTTGAAAGTGTCAGCGACTAATCGAGGATTAAGGCTTGCTCTGCTTGAGCTCAAATTACTTGGTCAAAACGTGGTCAAATTGATTCCAACTTTTTGAATGTCCTTCTCAAAGATGTAAACTCTAACTTTTATATTTGGCTCAACTTGAGTTTCTTAACAAAAATCCGAGAACGCGAGATGCCAATAATCATTGCCACTGAAATTCCAGACTTGGCCAATTTTTTGAGATCCAAAACAGCACTGCATTCAAACTTGAGGCCACTGTTTGAGCCACTTAGAAGTTGAATCAGGTCTTGGTCCAAAAATAAGGTTTGTTGTACTCCACTCAAACTTCAACCTTTATTAAAGGTCAAACTTCATATCTGGTACAGAAATAATTTTCTTCATCTTGGTCAAAGTAGCACCTCGTTAAACCCTGGAATTAGGGTTTTCGACCAATTGAGGCCTTTTCTTGACATTTGCTCAACACGGACCCTTCCTAACTTTTATTGTAGAGTTCAATTAGAGTCATTTGGGTAAGGTATCAAGGTTTGGTCGACATCTCATATTCCCATTTACTTAATAAAGCAATTCAATCAAGGTTATAACTTTTCATTTCATGTGACTTCTTGATTCCAAACTTCATGAAACTTTTCCACTGGTCAAGGTGGATGCATGTTGATGTAATGTACATAAAATAAGCATGTTTAACATTACTCATGCCTAATCTTAATCAGGGTCCATATGTAAGCAAAGTGTATTGTCCGAGTCCAAGTTCAGGTTGGGACTCAATTTCATAGATTGGACCTCAACACCTTCATCATCACTTCAAAATTATGAACTAGAGATCATAATCATTGCTTGACATATCCTACTTAAGTCCAATTCCGCTGCTTAACTCATGACTAACACCTGGGGTGTTACAAGCACCTTCGAGGTTACTCCCTATCTACACCATTCTGCTAATAATTCACGCCTTAACCGGCGATGTATGCAAAGTGCTTGGTTTTACGTGTGTCGGGTGCATCTTCGGGGTCCGATGATGATGCATTCAGAAGGCACGAAAGGCGGAGCCACACTTAGTGAGCCGAAGGACTAGTGAAGTTATCATTAGAGAGATCTGACGTCACATTCGGAGTATCCGAAGATCTATCACACACATGTATGGAATTGAGGTTATCGGTGCCAACTGCAGAGGGGGCTCTGATGTTGCGAATTGATGGGCAAATAGGAGAGGTTAAATCCGATTTAGACTTTTGTTTAGGCCATATGTCTAACAATTTGTATAATATTATTATCTACCACCTTCTGTTCCAAATTATAATTTGCTTTGCCTTTTCTATGTGCATAGCTTTTGCTATGCACCTAGATATACGATGTGTCTAGATATACAATAAGTTGTGTATCTAGAAATATCAAAACAATTTATAAAATATGAGTAGTTTTGTAATTTTTCTATTAAATAAATATTATTATTTAACAGAATTCTGACAACGACGGGCGGCGGTGGCTACCGATCGGAGCTGCTAGCGTCCGTACGTCTGATCCGGCTGCTAGCGTTCGAACGCTCGGGCCCGCGCTGCTCCGTTTCCCATGCATATGTGCGCCCACATGGGGTCCGCGTCTTGATCTATTCCCTCTCCGTTTCCCGTGCCTGCCACTCGCACCCCTTCGCTCCCACATGCATGCACCAGGTTTAAAAACATGTGCAACACACGCCCCTAGCAGCTGTAAGCAGGTGGCTGCGGCAGGTTTTAGATAAAACATTTGCAACATACGTCTAAAAACAAATAATGCATTTGGGACATACACTCGAAACACCATTACAAAATGTCCAACATCCCCATCTACTTTTAAAACATCCAGATGCAACACTTGTATCATACAAAAGAAGACAAATGAAACACTTGAAACATGCGTCTGAAACACTTACAAAAATCGCTTGAAAACACTTGAAAAAACCATTGCAAACATATATAATATCCAGATAAAACACTTGCAACATATGTGTCCAACATATGCAACAGATAAACACACTTGTAACATACGTCTGAAAAACAGATGAAACATTTGAGATAGACGCTTACATCTTACGTGTACAACCATCGCAATATATACAACAACCCGATCTACTTTGCAACATCCGTATGAAACACTTGCAACATATATCTAAAACAATTGAAACATTTGAAATATACACTCGCAACATGCATCATATACTGGTGCGGCCTCCTCCGTCGTCTACATTGGGGCACCGGGGCGCCGTAGCCATAGCAGGAGGCGAGGCCGAAAGGCTTCCACGTTAGGCCCTGACGCTTCTCCTTGCGCTGGCGGTGCCTATCGGTGTCGTCGGGCGGGTCGGGCAGCGGAGCAGGAGCAGCAGCAGAAGCAACGGGGCGGGGTCGTGGAACAGGAGCAGGAGCAGCACCAGGAGCAGTGGGGCGGGCGCGCGGAAGAGGAGGAGCAGGAGGAGCGAGCAGGAGCAGTAGGGCGGTGTGGCGCGGTGAAGTAGGAGTAGTAGCCGAAGCGGGCATGGTGCTGGGGTGGAAAACGTCGCGATGGATACGACCGATGCGAATAGAGAAAATATCACTCTTTCTTCTTTTTCATAAATCTTGTACTCTGTATGTCGTGGTGAGAGGAGCAGGTCTGTGCCTGTTCCGTAGGCCCAGCTGAAGCATCGAGACGGACGGACCCTCGTCGTGGAGCATTACCATATTTTTTTGTTGTTGTTGTTGTTTTTTTCATTTTGCCACCACAACCGTTATAACCACCGACGAAATCGGCCGGCAAGGCACGCCGGATGGGCCAGCACCCGCAGAAATCCGTTTAGGGTAGGCCCGAGATCCACCGATCCGTCGAGCTCCACCCACAGGAAGGAACAATCGGCCGCCGGACGCCGGCCGCCGCCATCGAGACGCCGACGCCGACCTGATCCAACTGCGCAGCAGGCCCGCAGCCGGACGCTCTCCTGTCTGCGCCGTCTCCTCCCATCCGTCCCCCGCTTGCTTTGAATCCCCTTCCTCTACTCCGCCACCGTGACGCGCCGACATGTGTGTCTTTACCTTCTTCCTTTTTTTTCCCCTCTCGCGAAACGCGATCCGTTTGATTCTTGTTTGTATGTAGTGCTATGTTGGCGCTCATGGACCAGAGCTTAGGTATTTGAGCATTAGGATGTTAGAGATAATATTAAGGTCATTTGTCACTTTGTTTATAGCTGAAGGCTAGGGAAGAAGCTATTGTTCTGCTCAAGTAGCTCTCGATTGCAATGCTGCCATTGTTTAGTCATGTCTGAATTAGACCGTGCGAAAAATATTGTTTTTTGTTCTCTGGGCATGGCCACTACATTTCTGAAATTTCCTCTTGTTGAAAATGCCTGCAGGACTGGGTCTTCTAAGAAGCATGAGCTCAAATCTAAGCAAAAATTGGAAAAGAAACTCAGCTTTTACACAAGTAGGTGTGACCTTATGTTAAGTTGATGATGTTTTCCTATATATGGTCCTGATTCTTAGATTCTATCATGCTGTTCCTAGCATCTGTATTTCACTACCTTTAATTAGATTTATGTATAAGCCAGACATATGTAGGTAGTATGGTGTTGAGGGTTAAAAGTTTGATTGTATGGAAGAACTGAGTAACTGACTGAAGTGCTGGCCTTAGGATAAAGGCATTGGCTTTTGCCATACAACTTTCTGCTATTGTTGAATGTATTTTCTTTCGAGGAAGGGCAGTACCTCTTCCAATTCACTAAAGAAGAATGGAAATTGCACCAAATAGTTAGCATAACAGAAACTTTTTTTTTTGCAAAGTTAGTACTTGGGCGGCCTGCATTGTTCAACCCCCAAGTGGTTAGGCATTTAGGGGTTAGTTTGTGGTTGCAAATGCCCCCCTGCTAGTTTCTACCCTGTACACAGCAAAGTAGTATTTTCATTCTTCACTTTTGATGATTTGCATAGTGTAATGTAGAAGAAGAGCTTAGCTTCATATACTGTATTGCACATACTTTATGAATTTTGACTTACAAGTTGGACCTTTTCAAGTTGGGTCTTTCATGCATTCCATTTGCATTTCCTTACCTTCTTTTTATTTTGCATAATAACATGGCCTATTTCATTTACCATAATTTGTGCTCTAACTCTTGAAAGTGTTGTTTTTTTATTTCAGAAGTAAAAGATGCAGTTATTTCCTTAAATGCTAAGAAGACTATCAGTAAGGTACTTAAAACTCCTCTCCTTCATTACCATATATAATTGATTTCTTCCTGGCTTTTCCATGTCTGTTAAACTCTGTAGTTTTGAACATTAGTTTTCTGCCCACATAAAGGAAATCATATTGTGTACTGCCCTGCCAATTGTGAGGAGTCATTTTGTTCATTGTAAACGTCTGTTAAAAGTTGTTATGTAAACTTCTAAAGTTCTAATCACCTCCTTATCCTAGAGGTTGTGGTATACTACAAATCAACTCACAACCACATTCAATATTTTAGTACTGGTTAATTTGTAGTATTGCTTTTCTGAAGGATACCACACTTTAGTTACAGGGTCAGATGCCCTGACAATTGGTTCATGTCATCATGTGCATTCACTTGTTTACTAAGTAATTCAATATAGGGTTTCAGTGTTTATATCAGTTAAACATAGGCTTGCTCCTAAATGTTCATGCCCTTAAGGCTTGAACCTCATATTCAACCTGCATAGGAATTTAGTACAACCAGGTTTACCAGGCCTAATTTTTGTGAATTGTGGTGAAGAAAAACACAGGAAGTTTAGAACTTCGATCTCAGTGTTTTCCTAGAAACATTACAACAATGTGAAAAGTAGTTAGCGCTAGTATTAGCTGCTCATGGCTGAGTTGGAATGACATAATCAATATCAGGCTCCTAAATGTTCTTGCAAGAATTCCAGAATGAGCTATGATTGATTGTTTCCATATTGTTTTGCAATTCTCGTAATGGTAGATCCTCCATCTTCAACATAGATGTAATGACCACAACTTAGCATCAATTTTTACTGAGGTCAATACTGTATAGGAGAATCACTTTACTACATCTGTTGCTGATCTGAAGTTTACAATTCTCCCTTGTGTATTCCATAATTTTTCAAAAAAAGATAGTATGTACATCAGAATTAATTCGAAATATATGTACTTTTATGGTCGAAAGGTGAAAAAAAAACTTAGTGTGTCGGGGTCATCCACACGTAGAATATCACTTAGAGCAGTTGCCCAGGTGCGACCATTGCTCTAGCAATGGCAGCCTGTCCCCCAAGTCTTGCCTAGGTGGATACACCAGAATAATTCCATTTCTGATGGAAGATGTGTTTATTTTGTTGCACAGTTTATAATATCAATAAATCGTTCAAATTTCAAAGTCTCAGCGACACAATTGGCTCTGTTATAATAAGGGCCCGTTTGGCTCTGTTGTAATAGGCGTATTGGCTCTATTGTAATAAGGGCCCATTTGGTGCGGTTTCTCCATGCGCGCTCCATGCCATACTGAAAACAGCTCCGGCTCCGGCTCCGCGCTTTGCTTTTGCTGGCCAGAAGCACTTCTCTGCACGAGGGCGTTTGGTGCGGCTCCGCCCGCTCGGCATGCAGAGCCAGTGCAGGAGCGGCATCAAATGGGCCTTAAGTTCTTATTGGCGTGTGTTTGGTCAATCTGATGGCATCGCACCAGTTTCCTGTATGTGTTGCACCATTCTGTGTGTTCCTGACGTTGTGAATAAATGATGCAGAAGAGCAATATTAACTCGAAATAAACATGCCACCATAAACAGATTTTTACAGTCATGATCTGTCAATTGATGGGAACTTTTAATTAACTCGAGATCCTTTTGTCCCGTTCACTTAGCTAATTATATGTTTGTGGATAATTTTTTAGAGGTCTACTCCATTCCAATGTAGACCCCTGCAGCTTGGCATATTTATTTTCTTTTGTATTTCTGTTGCAATGTGCACCATACGCATTTGATAAATATGTTGCAATGTGCACCATACGTATTTGATAAATGTGTAACTTCACATGCACTTGTCATTATATTTGTATAATTTGCATTTCCTTTTACTTTTTATTACGATGCCAGTGTCTTACTATCTGTTTCAATTATTTTGTTCAGCAGAAAAATAAACAGAGTCGGCGCCAGAAGAAACTGAAAGCATATGATCTCTCGGCACTGTCTGAGTTCCTCCCAGAACCAGCTGCACCAGAGCAGAAGACTGAAGCAAAGCTGAACTGCAAGTCAAGACAGACATTAGTGTAAATCCTCCCTTCTTCCTTGCTTCAGGTCGTCGTGTTTTCCAACTGTAATTTTGGGCTCTAAACCCTAATCTCTTGTCCAGGGTACGGGAATCTGCTCGTCTTAAGGTTGTACTGGACAACCTGCAGTTCCAGCTTGACCCATTCGCTGCGATCCATCAGCACCTGCTAGGAACGCAGCCGCCTGCAGCTGCAAAGGACAGTGACGCAGGGAAGCAGGGGAAGGAGGACTCCAAGGACAAGAAAAGGAGGAGGAAGAAGAAGGGTGCATCGTCAAGCTCTCAAGCAATGGATATCTGATTGTATTCGTTCAGCAGTAACTTGGTTCGACGTTGACTGCCCGTGTTCCATTAGATTAGAGGGAGCTTATCGAAGTTTGATATCAATGGTTGGCATAGTTTGCATTGGGTACCAGTAGAGGTAGTAGTTCTTTTTTTTCCCTCCCTCTTTGGGCGGCCTTTTGATTGATGTTTGCTTAATCGGTGCCGTCAACATTTATGTGAGGTGATGATTTCCGAGCACAAGAATTTATTATTTTTTTTGTGACTTGAATTTTTTTTATTATGTAAATATACCTGGTGACTGTTTCTGAAGGCAGCTCAACTGTTGTAGAAAGCCTGGCAACAACCGCTCCTATTTCTCTGGTGTTCAGTTCCCGATTAATCTAACTGACGAAGTCCAAAACTGACGAGGCCCAGACCGTTCTATTTCACGTACATGAGGAATCCAAAACTGAACGGCACGGCAGTTCGGTCGCCCCCACAAATAGGAGGAATCCAGTTAGGTTGTTATAGCTAGCCACTAGATACCTGGCGCTTCCGGCCGTAGCTATATATTATATCTATCCACGGATCTCCATACTCATCTAGAGTCAAGATCCCATATATTCTCCTTGGGGCCAACTGAACTGACTGCGTCCTCTCTCCTCTCCCTCACTCTCCTCCCTTGGCGTGTCGTCGTCCAACGGAGATCGAGACGATGGCGCCCTCGAGCATGTCGACGGAGAAGGAGCAGGCCATCGACGACTGGCTGCCCATCACCTCGTCCAGGAACGCCAAGTGGTGGTACTCCGCCTTCCACAACGTCACGGCCATGGTCGGCGCCGGCGTGCTCAGCCTGCCCTACGCCATGTCGGAGCTCGGATGGTACGTGATCCGGCGGGATGCATCCACTGATCTGATGTGTTATACATATAAATAATACGTACTACATTCCTGTCATAAGTAACTTATGTACTTAATTATTTAACAATAATTTGTTTATGTATGAGGGTGACTCGAGATCACTAGATTAGGAATCAGTTCGTCTAACATTACTAGAATAGTACGTATCAGATATTTATATCGTGCGAGGGTATTTTTAGTTTTAATAAAAACAAGGCTAAATGAATAAACTGGATGATAATATTTTTTAGATCTTCTAGTCATATTCATTGGACAGGATATTTTCTTTAAAATGGATGAAGATGTAATCGAGACATCCATGCTCTATAAAAAGTTACGACTAAGAAAGTTAGACAATATGCCTATATTCAAACTATTTATATTACAAATTGTCGTAGTTTCTGTCTTAATCTTTGATTTTAACACTAATCATATTATTTAATGCCTTCATATAGAATTCCATTGCCAAATTTATAATGGTTTACTGAATTGACAAATGGTTTTATCAACTATATACGAAATTTTTTGTTCGGCATGCCCTTTAGTCATGTCAATTGTCAAACCCTTTCATCTCAAGAGAAGACTAAGGTTTATTTTGCCTTGCATTGTGACTGACACTGATTGACTCATGGATCTGAAATTCTGAATGCATGCAGGGGTCCCGGCGTTGTGGCCATGCTCCTGTCGTGGGTGATCACCCTGTACACACTGTGGCAGATGGTTGAGATGCACGAGTGCGTCCCGGGGAAGCGCTTCGACCGCTACCACGAGCTGGGCCAGCACGCGTTCGGCGACAAGCTGGGCCTCTGGATCGTCGTCCCGCAGCAGCTCCTCGTGGAGGTCGGCACGTGCATCGTCTACATGGTCACCGGCGGCAAGTCCTTCGAGAAGTGCTACAACGTCGCTTGCCCGGAATGCAAGCCCCTCAATACCAGCTCCTGGATCATGATCTTCGCCGCCATCCACCTGCTCCTCTCGCAGCTCCCAAACTTCAACTCCATCACGCTCGTCTCCCTCGCCGCGGCAGTCATGTCGCTCAGGTACGGTCGGTCCACTTGAAGAATGTTTATTTGGATCGATCAGATCAGATCATCATGCATGCAATATACATGCAGCTACTCTACGATTGCATGGGCGGCGTCGGCGCACAAGGGGCGGCACGCGGACGTGGACTACAGGAAGAAGGCGTCGACGGCGACGGGGCAGACGTTCAACTTCCTGAGCGCGCTGGGGGACGTGGCGTTCGCGTACGCTGGCCACAACGTGGTGCTGGAGATCCAGGCCACCATCCCGTCCACGCCCGACAAGCCGTCCAAGAAGCCCATGTGGCAGGGCGTCGTCCTCGCCTACATCATCGTCGCCATCTGCTACCTCCCCGTCGCGTTCGTCGGCTACTACGTCTTCGGCAACGCCGTCGACGACAACATCCTCATCACACTCGAGAAGCCACGCTGGCTCATCGCCATGGCCAACATCTTCGTCGTCGTCCACGTCATCGGCAGCTACCAGGTCCCAAAATAAATCTCATACGCACAGCTTCGTACCTTAATTCCTTCCTTGTGATCGATCGATGACACGTCTATAATTTATAGATCTACGCCATGCCTGTGTTCGACATGCTCGAGACGTTCCTGGTGAAGAAACTCCGGTTCAGGCCAGGCCTGCCTCTCCGTTTGATAGCGCGCTCACTCTATGTTGGTAGGTACTTATACATTCAAAGCATTTAACTAATCTGATTACATGCATAGTGTAGTGTCTAATTAAGAAAACCTATTAATTGGCGTATTACATCATTTATTTGTTGCTCCATGCATCTTGTGTCGTACGTGCAGTGTTCACAGCTCTAGTTGGCATCGCCGTGCCGTTCTTCGGGGGTTTGCTAGGGTTCATTGGTGGCTTCGCATTTGCACCGACAACCTACTATGTGAGAGATCCTTTAGAATTTTCTATCTGTTTGCTTCAACCCATTATTCTAAGCACTTCATGTCCTTGATGTACTAATTACTAATTTTGACTGAACCCAAATCACACTACTGCACGACGACCAAGCAGCTTCCCTGCATCCTGTGGCTCAAGATTAAGAAGCCAAAGACGTTTAGCCTCTCCTGGTTCATCAACTGGGTACGTCATTATTTCATACAGTAATTTTTTTCTTGTTTTACCTCTAGAATAGAATGTGGACGGTGTATTATTATTCATGCCTGTGATTTCGGAAATCCTTGATATATTATGCTAATAAATAAACGGGGTGCCTTTGACATGACCTGCAGTTTTGCATCATAGTTGGCGTGCTCCTGACGGTGTTTGCACCCATTGGTGGCCTCCGGTCGATCATCGTCAACGCCTCCACCTACAAGTTCTTCTCGTGATCGATTATTCCATTCGTCGCCCAAGACTTTATTAGTTAGCTAGCTAGATAAACATGAGCAAGTAGCTAGGTTTAATCGATCTACTTATTTGTGTCAAAAGGCTAGGATATTATATGCCATATGATGTGTGTATTCAATTTGCATTGGATCTGGATGGATGATGGCACTCGGTTTAATTTATGCTATGGCTAAGTCGATCTCGTTCAAGTTCTGATAGGATGGTGATTAATTTTGCCTTCGATCATTTTCCAGATTTCAGGTGATACTGGCTGTGTTTGGGCTGATAATCATACCTTGTAAATTCATTTTTTGAAACGAACCAGGAGAGCTGCCAATTATATTAAAAAGAAGGAAGTCCAAAATAGGCACAACAATACAACAGCGACCAACAACCATGACGGAAAACAAATTCAACAAAAGGAAAAAAAATAACTCTAGTCAGTCGGATTGGGACATCGACACGAACCGCACAAAGCCGAAGCTCAACTTAGAAAAAAGAAACCACCAACGAACTCCAACCCATTAGCCGGTCTCCACACTGCCACTGCCAAAAACCCGGACAACATGGACGTCAGGGCGAAAACGCCATCGTCACCGCTCGCGCCGTCGTCACCAACGATGACCCACGCCGAGCTAGCCTACTGCCAAGCAGGGCTAGTCCGCGTAGCCCTCCCGCAATCGGATCCGCTTGCGCCGCATGTCAAGATGATGTACCACACCGGACTAGCCACTGCCAAGCAGGGCTAGCCGCCGTAGTCCGCTGCAAGCTGCCAAACCAACGCTTGAGAAGCTGCCTCTGGCACTCACCCAGACGATCTCGTCCACCAAGATCCAAGCGCGTACACTGTAGTTTCCAGCAATCTAGCTGCCTCATCAAAGGTAGAAGTGCCACATGGATCCTCTACCTGCCAGTCACAAAACCTCCTTACGCCGAAACGGCCGCCGCTAAGCGGGACCACTCGCCACCCAACCACGTAGGTCAACTCGGCAATGCAAATCTGCTGACCACCACCTCCCACGCTGGCCTCCTCGCCAACTTCATGGGTGCCATCCACGCTGGCCTCCTCGCCATCTTCGTGGGCGCAACTAGCACACGGTCCCTCCAGAATCGTGGCCCTCCACCAAGCAGATGCCAAGCCCTCCAATTGTTGCGACAACGCCTTCTTCCTAGCCACCTTCTGACTCCATGGACACTGGACCTCAAATCCTCAACTAGGTCCTACCTTGTCGGCAACCACCATGGCTGGCATAACATGAGCTTCCAAAGCGACGCCTCCAATGAGGGGAACGACGCCACAAGCGCCGCCGTCACCTAACCAGAAGGTTAAGGTTTTACACCCAAGAAGAAAGCGCCACGCAAGGGAGAAGACCGATCGATGGACGCTTCCAAGGAAGTAAACGGCGCCCGAAGGCATCACCGTCATCGGCCCGGAAGGGCAAGGCTTTCACCAAGACCCCAAAACCCCTGCACAGGCCTCGTTGCTACCGTTGCCAAGTGTGGGTTGCTGCCCGTCATTCCCGAAGCCACACCCGAAGTCCACGACGGCGAGTCGCTGGAGCCACTGTACCTTGTGCCAGCATGGCACCCGGCTGCCACCGCCCGTGTCCCCCAACCCTCCGTCGACCTAGGCCGCCGCTGCACTGCAGTCGCTGACCCTAGCCTAGAGCCAGCCACCGGGACACAGATTCAGGCGCCCGAGCACTGGACTCGGTGGTCCTAGGCCACCGCCGCCGCCATGGAGGAAGGGGACAGGCGGAGCAGGCCTAAGCACTGGCACCACCCACATTGAGCCCTTCCTGGCCGGATCCATCCAGCCCATGGCCTCGGGAGACCAGATCTGGTGGGACGAGAGTGTTGGTATTTCTTAATGCAAACAGAAATGATGCGCAAGCGCACGTAATTACTGTTGTAGCACTTCACCCGAAAGTATTCAGGGTATCGTATTTTCCACAGGGAACAGAGGTATTTCTTCTAGCTAATTCATCCAAGGACAACACAAGGGTAAAATTGGAAAGGGTAGAGATTGATTTCTATGGATTTTGGATCTAAGGACATGTAAACTCTATTTTCACTTGCTTACTTTGGGCACCGACTTACACTTGGTCTGCCAAGCGATACCGGCCTGTAGCTCTACGCCGTACCCGGATGTGAGGGATTACAAGGGATGAACAGGGTTGTCACCACCTGCCGCGTCTACCCCTCAACCGTGGAGTACGAGGCAAATGAAGGTATCCTCTAGCCTAGATACCACGTCTATGTTATTGACTACTACTCTTGTGTTGCATAGGGTTATCCATCTTTATCAGGGCCCTCTACTAGAGTGTTCATCACAAGGACAAATGATGTACCCACAAACAAGTAAGAATAAAGCTTAACTAATCAAAAGACTTTATACCAAAAGAATCACAAACACTTACTAAAGGAAGAACCCGTTGAGGTACAAGTGTTCATCGAGGTACAAGCTCGGGGAGACACCGACAAGCCTGGCGCTTTCCCGTACTCTCCCTCACATCTCTCCCTTCTAACTCTACTAGCTATCTAGGTCCTAAGCCCTTCGAATGGTGCTCAAATGTGGTGCTCTTGATCCTTGGTGTGTTGTTGAATGAGTAGGGGGTGGCCTCCTTTTATAGGTGGAGAGGAGGAATAATCCCATGGAATATGCTTTGATTCCTTCCAAAAATAACCAAACCGGCATCCAAACCGTCCTTTAGGTGCGTTGAACCTGGCCGATACCCCAGGAACCGACATAGGTAAGGCTGTGAGAGTCAACCGACCAAAGTTCGGGCCGAACAAAGCCAGTAGGGGTGCGGCCACACCCCACTAGGGCTGGGCTGGATCAAGCCTATCTTTGGTGGGTGACTTCTATGATCATGTGGACTTGGTCCATGGTGGTTTCGCGCGGAGTTCAGTTGGTTTAGTTTGAGTTGGGCTTGTTCTCCACTCTTTTGGGCCCTGATTCTGCTGGTAAGTGGGCCATGTCCCCTTGGGCTCATGTTGGATGTCTATAATGTTGCGTTTCTTGTATACTTTAGGCTCATTTTCTGTGTAATCCCGATATATCCTCTTATAAATGGATAATCACCAAAACTAATGGAATTGATTAGTTATAAGCCCTAATTCTAAGTTTGGTGTTTATTTTAGTAGTTTTTATATGAAAGTTGGTGGTTAGAAATTGGAGTTAAGGACCGCCAACAAGTACCCCCACACTTAGCCCTTTGCTTGTCCTCGAATAAAGTTAAGGACTAAGATGAGTCATCTCCTTGATATGTAACCTGCATACAAGTTATTCCAAGCTTCACCTGAACCTGTGAACTTTTAAGTGTCCATCACATTATCTTGGGTGATTGAATAATGGAACAACATGGATTCAAATCCCTTGCATCAATCAATTTAGAAACTTGGTCTTTTATTTGATTTTAAAAGATATAAACTTTAAAAGATATAAACATAGCTTAGCTCCTCAAATGATTCTCTCAGATCACTCAAGTTTGTGTTTGGCTCCTCACCAAGGCATATCATAGTGTTGCCTTCTTTCTTTTCTACTTCTAAAAAGCTTATAAGGATCTTTGGGTAGGGTAAGATATGAAGGCATACTAACACTGCATATTTTCTTAAGTCAAAGCTCGGATCCAAGGAGAAAGATGCCATACCCTTAGATCAAGAAGTGCATGTGTGTGGATAAAACAATTTTAAACCTATACTATGCTCCTTGATATGAGTGATTTCTCTCACGAAGTCATTTAGTCTGAGAACATGGCTTATCATCTTTTTTTACCTGAGCCTTCATGTGCTCATCTTTTTTTTTCTTTTTTTCAATACATGAGCATTCATGTGCTCATCATTTTTTTAAACTTTCACATATCCCATGTCTTTTTTTCTAAACCACTTATTTAGAGAGAGATCATTATCTTTTTAGAGCATGGAGTATTTTCCTAACAAACATATTCTGTTTTTTGTCTACTCACAGTGTAGGAGCAGAATTTTTGGTGGATCTAAAATGGAAGCATGTTTTTTTGCGTACTCCTAGTGTAGGAGCAGCATGTGTATGTGGGTGTATGTGATCTTGATCTTGTGGGTATGATAACTTTAACAACAAGGGTCAACAAGGCTTGACAAAACTCAATGCAGGAATAAGTAGCATATGTTTGAATGTTTTAAGCTCTAATCACTAGATATGGCTTTGGTAGGAATTTGAATATCATTGAGGAGCCTGCTATTTAAATTTTGATTTTTAGAATAAATCTCAAGTACTTTACATAAGAGAGCAAGGTTCATAATCATCCTGCTATATCACATATTCTAATTACTTAAAATAACATGGGGTCCCTATGATAAGTTGTTCACAAGTTAAAGGAATGTTGGCGAGGAATAAAGAGTATGCAAACTTTTAATCAAAAAATAGCATGGAGACTGATCGTCACTTTGATTTGCAATTTTTTTAATTTTCTAAGTTTTAAACTTCAAAATTTGGGAGAGTTGAGGGTTTTATTGCACAAACCATCGTTGTAGAGGAAAGAGTTAAGGGATTCAGATGTGGTTTGGCCAAACCAATAGTTCAGCCAATCCTCTCTGAAGCTATCTGTCTTGTCCTTCTTGCATGATGGATCATCCGATGTTTGTGCAACGTGTTGGTGGGAGATCTCGAATGTGTGCATGTCGTGCTTGAGATATCTCCCCACACTTATTTTTGTACCTATTTTTAATATTAAAAAAGAAACAAAAGTGGAAACAAACAAGGGCTCTTCTAGCTAAAATACTGGGGAGCCTAAATCTTTATTATTATTATTTATATTTTTTATTTATATATTTTATTTGTTCATCTAACTTTTTATCTTTTAGTCCAACTCAAGCAAGGCTAAAGGAAAGTTTGCGGAACAAACCTAGCCTTGATTCATCTCCATCATAAAATTACTTCCATTGTTTATAATAATGACTCAAAGTTCATTAACCAAGATTAAACACCATGCTTAATTTTGATTAAAGGAGGCTATTTAACCTA